GGTTAAAGCAAATTTCCTCACTATAAAAAAAAAAAAAAAAAAAAAAAACACATCCTCAGGGGCACTACAGACTCATCCCTGTAGTGTACGGGTGTCGCAATCCCGAGGTACCCGAGCTGGAGTGTGTGGTGATGGATGAACGGGGTGTGATGGGCGTGCAGGCCCTAAAAAGGACTTGTCCACTGCACTAGGTGAAGGAAAACACTGACATAACACCCGGGGGGGAGGCCCCGTTAGCTGAGTAAGGCAACCTCCTAAGGGGAAGGAAAACCCCCGACAGAAAAAACCACTTTTTCTTTTTCAGATGGGATGACATCGAAGAAAAGAGACGACTTCCCAGGGTCGGATACTGGGAACCGGCGTGGGGGGGGTGTAGGCCTGGCTCCCCTCATGTCGTCATCACACGACAGGTCGTCTGTGGCTTTGCCGGCTGGGGCTACAGATAAGGAAGCGACAGTGCCGAAGGACACTAGGAGGATCCGTAGGGCTCATGAGGGCCTTATGGTTCGGGACGATGGAATCGATCCCAAGTATGTCAGGAGACTACTTGCACGGGTCGATTCCAGGTGTCATGTGTTGGAGGAGTACCGTGTGCTCCTCGAACACAGCGAGAAGCACACCGTTAAGTGTTGGTGTTCGCGGGTACGCTGGGACTTTGTCCAAAAGTGTCCCGCGTGCGGAACCGTGGATTCTCCGTCTCCGGTCATCGGGAGTGAGGAATGCTCGGACGAGCCTGAGGACAGCGGTGAGAGACCGTTCCCGTCTCCGGAGAAGATGCGTGGGGCAAGCGACGACGAGGAAGCTGGGGGAGACCTCACCTTCGTGTCGCTCCCTTCGCCGTTTTCGGAGAACGAGGCAGAGGAGAGGGATCCGACGTGGAGGGTCCATGACGTAAGGATCCTCACAGGCAGAAAGCAGTACCCTCCTAAGGAGAGTGCTGCTGATCAAGCAGGTAAGCGCGCGCGCGCGCGGTAGGGGTCGCCCTAAGACTACGGGCGACTATGCTGGTCTCGCGGAAGCCAAAGAACGGCTGAACGAGGCTACGCGTAGGGAGCTCCTCCTTGCGGATCTGCGGAGGGTCTGGATCCATCTTTGGATCCAGTGCTCACTGCGGTCGGGCGAGAGAATGCGCCTTCGGACGAGGCATTCAGGACGGGGCTCAGGGGTAAGACCGCTCCTGAGCTGGAGAAGCTTGCGGGGGTCTTCACTGCCCAAGTGGAGAGGTTGGCCCGGGTCCATGGCATTGAGGATCTCTTTGCCAGGGAGCTTCGGACTTCCTCGATGAAGCTGGGTGGTGTGCTCGAGGAGTTGGCGGTAAGGGCCTCTACAGATGCCGACCCTGGTATGGACGCGCTTCGTAGCGCAAACCAGGGTCTGAGGACCAGGATCTCGGCTCTTGAGAGGCAACTTGAGAGCACGAGACAAGAACTGGCTTCTCTTCGGGCTGTATTGCCCGAAGTGGAGGCCCGATACTTCCCGGATACCGGGAAGAAGAGGAAGAGGACGCGGCGGGACCGTCCCTCTCCGGACCAGGCTGGCGGATCCCCATTGCTGGCTGCTGACGAGCAGCACGATGATTGTCCGGTTACGGTGGCGGCGGTGTCGTCCCTATTGATCGTCGTATTAACGACTTGAGGGGCGACATTGCGTCAATTGTCGTGGCCTCGTTGAGGTCAGAGCTTGCGGGGCGGGCTGGGCCCGCTCCCTTTGGAGCGACGCCCATGCGTGCGCCCGTGCAGCGAGGTGTTGGTGGTGCGGTTGCTCCGATACGGTTTCCCGCTCCTGGGGGCTCTGCTGCTTCCGCTTCTGCGGAGGTTTCGGCGGATGCCTCCGGGCGTGGGGCTGTGGCTGGTGGTGGCGGTCGTCGGCGTCGTCGTCGTCGTTCAGGGCCTGCTTCAGGTGGTGGTGCGGCGCACACTCCGGCTCGCGGAGGGAGGGAAGAAACGTGTGCCTCCCTCTCTCCCTTTGTCGTCGGTTGTTTCGCTGACGGTTGGTCGAGGGAGGAGGATCGCGAGAAGACCTACGCCTCGGTTCTTCGTAAGCGAGGCAGCGGGTGGAGTTGCCCAAATTGGGCATCCACTCGATGCGTCTTCGCCGGGGGGCGACGGGGAGCATCCTTCTGTCCATCCGTGGAGGGGACTCTTCAAGGCTGGCAGACGAGTTAGCGTCCAAGCTCCGGGGAGTGGACTTTCCCACTCAGGACGGAGTCAAGGTGGGCCGCCCCTCCCGTATGGAAGAAGTCGGCTGAGAGGGTTGATGGCCTTATATCAAAGGAGGACATTCTGGCGGAAGTCGTGTCTGTGACTGGATGCAGCGCGGGTGAGATACAGATGGGGGACATCCGATTGTTCCCCAATTCTGACGTTGGGACACTGTGGGTCCGTTGTCCGGCCGGGGCCGCGCGCAGGCTAATTAAGGCCGGGAGCATCGCGTTGGGTGGGGGGTGGTGGGAGCTGACGGTTACGTCACTTGCCCGCCGCCCCTTGCAGTGCTTTAGGTGTCATGCCTTTGGCACACGGCGAATAGGTGCGGGTCTGAGGCTGATCACAGCGACTGTTGTTATCGCTGCGGTCAGAGGGGGCATTTGGCTGCCAAATGCGTGGCGCCGCCCCTCTGTCTCGCATGTGAAGGGGCTGGTAGGCCCTCGCAGCACAGAGCCGGCTCTGGCGCTTGTGCGAGGAGGATTGTTCCCCCCAAGGGGTTATGGAGGACTGGTGTGCGTTCCTCCCCCAAGGGTCGTCGGCGCCCCGAGGAGCCCTCCCTGTGGGGTGGGTCCCCGGAGGCGATGCGTGTTTCGGAGGGCGAGGGATCGCCGGGGGCGCCGCTAGGTGACCCCGCGGTTCCCTCGACCTCCTCAATGTCTATACGTTAGTTACGTCTAGTGTGGTTATGGGAGCTGCGGCCTGCACTCGTCCTTCTTTGCGGGAGGCAAGCAGGTCCGGTTACGCTCTCTGTCTTAGTCTTTGTCCTCGCACACTGTGGATTATGGGAGCTGCGGCCTGCAATTTGTTCCTTAATCGGAACTGGCAGGTTCGGTTAGCTCTCTGTCTGTGGTTTTTATGTTGTTGCTAGTCAACCCTGTTGTCTTTTGTTGTGGGTGAATTACCATCTCTTCATCCACTCTATGTGGTTCAGCCTCTGTGCTTTATATGTTAGCCCATTGTGGGCTGGGCCTGTGGCCCTTACTCAGTCTGGTCACGCTTGTGGTTGTGTACATGTTTTGTGCACCGTGTTCTAGTTTTGTGATGTCCTTGTGACGTCTCAGTCTGGTGATGTCCATGTGACGTCTTGTGTTAATGTCGGGCGGTTTTCACCGCTTCCGTCGGGGACGGCACGAGTGAGGAGTGAGGGCTCCAATCTCATTGCACGCTGTCCCTGGGACGATGAGAGGGGGTTTGGAACCCGGCTCCCTCTTGCTGCCCTCTCCCAGGTAGGGAGAGTGGCACGGGAAGAGTGTTTCCTGGAAGAGACACCACCTTCTTCCAGGGGGAAGAGCCCCGAAAGGGGTCATGGCCGAGGGTGTCCACTGGAAGTTTATGCGAAAGCGGTTCCCGGTGGACAATACCCCGCTCAGGCATGCATTTCAGTGAGGTTTTAGAGCGTTGCGCGCTACGACCCACCTCCTTCAGACGCCGTGGAGGAGCCCCCACACGCCTTCTGGGTTTTCCCTCAGGACGGCGCATCGGTGGGTTAGGTTAGGTTAGGTTGGGTTGAGTTCGTTGAGAGACACTGTCCTCATAAGACGTATGTAAGGTACGCTCTGTATTTAGTGCGGGTTTAAAACCTTAATTTAAGTCTGTGAATGTTATAAACATTGTTAGACGATAACATTTATTGCTAAGTATACTGGCAAATGGGGGTTTGCTGATAAGGTGCTTAGATAATTAATAAATAGTCTGTGAAATGTGAACTTCTGCATACCTCGTCTAGTGACTTTGACAGGTGTATTTGATATTTATTATTTCGACTTTTATAAATGGAAAGTGGATCTGCAACATTCTTACATGGATCGTGGACATACTATCTATCATCTATAAAGGACTTGACAAGGTCTGTGCATTAATTACTTCATAATTAGTGCATATGTGATATGACTATTGCTGTCTCTCTCACACTGGTGAACATACTGACAAAGTGAAATTATTGAGATAAAACAACCTTTTCTCATACCGGAGATTATTCTAATATATTTCTGATGGTGTTTTATAATAACCATGGAAATTTTGAGTTGCTAACTTTAATATTCTGATTAGAAATAATATTATCCATCATTGACTATTGCTGTCTCGTTTACTCCTGTGGGAAAACTTTGTGCATTAAAATAAATTGTTACAGATTTTTCACAGCACTCTGGATATTTTTCATATGTTTATGACATCGTTAGGATGTGTACTAGTGGTGTAGAACAGTGGATAGTGCCTCAGTTGTTATTTAAAACTCTAATATGTTAATTAAAAATTCTCACTAGATCAATGCGCTCGCGTGCGCAAAAGTGATTTGGTAACACTGTGTATCTTCTTGCTGGCAGATTCTGATTGGTCTGGTTATTCTATAGTGAGATCATTTGAATTATTACTTTTTGATTCATTATGAACAATTATAAGTGGGTTAATTAGCTTATAATAATATAAACTATAATATTATAAATGCTCTTTTAGCATTATAAGTAATTTTTGATAATATTAAATCATTTAAGTCGATCTAAAATAATTCGCACGTGGCAGCGTGTTCCCATTGCGCATATGCTCTACGCAGTGCGCGCGTGCTCAACCGGGTTGGCGGCCTGCCTACCTATAAGCTGGCGATTTGTCATTGGTTGTTCCATATAACAGAGCGAATATTTGACTCATTCACAACTTATTTATTTTATTCATATATAAACATATGCAATAAAATGACTTTGATAATTATTTTGTGACTAATAACTGATAATTAATATATAGTAAAAGGGAAAACTTTCTATATAAAGTATTGATTAGTAGTAATAGCTATATATGGTATCAAATAATGAACGATCTTGTGATGTTCAGTGTCAATTTATTATTATTATTGCTCAAAGTGGTTATTACAAATTTATTATGAAATGTGTAAATGGTTATCATAGAGAGGTCTATGTTATGTGTATAACCTTTTTCTGCTTGGATACCTCTTTGTTGTTGAACGATTTTCTGAAACAATGAAAGAAAAGTATATAATAATTTTTAATTACAGACTGATAATTATTATCTATAACCTTAATATATATTATATATAAGAATATATAAGACTGTTAATAGCTTTAGTTTTGTAAAAATATAAACATTAGTTTGATCTCATTGATCCTGCTCAATTGACTTAGTCAACTTAACTGCATATTATATGGAATATATATAAATTTACTTAGGATAATAATTGAAATATCTTGTTATATTCTATATAAGACGCTAGCATAAATTAAATAATCAACTAAGTGGGAATATTAACTGAGCCCCTGAAATAAGTGATGCGCAGTGTATGATAAGTGAATCGTGTACTAATGCTCACATACTTACGATGGCAAACTGATGACAGACAGACTTCTCGATAAATGCGTCCAGGATTGAAGTGAGGTCTTGCTGCCAATATGCCATGCGATGATGCTGTTTTGATTGTCTTGAAGCCATGGGACTCTGAATGCATTTGTTTTGGTGTGCTGCTACGCTGTATAAGATAAGTGACATATGACACAAATGATATGTGATTGTCCTATTAACAATAATATTAATAGAGATAACCGAAGTGCGTACATTAGTATATTGCATCTCACTATTAATAGGATACGTTAAATAATAGTTGAATTTGCAATATTATTTAAATACTTACTTATTATTATACATATAATTTTGATGAATTGTCTGTGAATCTCTTGATGAAGTGGTTCCTGATCAGATGTTCAAATCCTTTTGTCGTGACAGTTGTCTGGTGCATTTACTGACTTTGATTTGGACCCTTGGGTGGAGCATGTATACAGAAATAGATTATCATGTTGATTTCATGTATACAGAAATAGATTATTAAGTTTCATAAACAATTTATATTTAGTCATCTTTTTTGACAAATATTATACTGTATTAAATGAACTTTTAGTGTTGCGTTATAAACGAGGAGAGATTCTTTGTGCTAATACTTACATATGACAGTGAACTGAAGACGGTGGTCTATACGATGGTTGCGTTGAAGATTGTTGCAAGGTAGTCCTGCTGTTTGTTATGCGGTAGTGACTTCTCGATCGCCTTGTAGCCATAGGTCTCTAAGTGTATTTTAAGTGTGATTTGTTAATATACGGAGTGACATAAGTAACAAATGATAATATAATTTGTTATATTATTACTATATTATAACTACTTAACTGACACTGGTCGTGTGATTCCTATGAGTTATCCAGGGATCTTTTTGAAGTAGTTTTTGATGAGAAATGAATTCCTTCCTTGACTTAGACAGTTATTTGGCTCATCTTGATTTTGTTTCTTGTCTCTTGGATTGAGCATGTAAGAAATAGAAAGAGGCTATTAAGTTGAGTTTATAAATTTATATATATTTATAAATAATTATAACTATTTAATAAGAAGCTCTCTTTTGTCGAGTATTATATGGTGTCAATTTTTAAGAATAAGCCTGTGAATTATAAGTGATGCATAGTGTATGAGAAGTGTCACTCTGACTTTAGACTCTCGATAGAGTATGTATGAAATAGATATAGATTGTTAAGTTTACATAAATAATCTATAGTTATTTAAATAGGAACTCTCTACGCTGTATAAATTTAAAAATAAGCCTATGAACTATAGTGACTCGTTGTGTGCAAGATGGATTATTTGTCTTGATACTTACGTACTTGACAGTGAATCTGTTAATGGAGGTTTATTCGATGGCTGTGTCCAGGATCATTTGTAATCCTGTTTGTCATGGATCATGCGGTATTGCTCTCCTGATGAAGCCATAGGTCCTCAAGAGTATTCTTAGTGCGCTGCTTCGCTACATATACTAAGTGACATATGAAACAAATGATAACATAAATATCTTATTAACAATCATAATAATGTAGATTAGTGAGGTGTGCATAATAATGAGATACATTTATTGCTGAAAAGATGCGACTAATAATATGGTTAATTTGATCTGCCGTATTTCTTTGTTTTCTTGATTTCCGGATAGAACATATTAGAAATGGATGAGATTATTAAGTCGAGTTCATAAACAATTTATAAATTGCTTAAATGGAAGCTTTCTCTTGTCAAATTATGTTGTGTTAAACTTGAAAGAATAAGTTTATGAATTATAAGTTATGCGTTGAATGCGTTGAATGCGAAGAAGAATTCTGGTATGACGCTTACATATATATGACGGTGAACTGATGGTAGTGATCTTGGTGGCTGTGTTCAGGATTGTCGTAATTTAATCTTGTTGCTGATATGCCATGCAATAATGTTTTACGACCGTCTCAAAGTCATAGGTCTTTGAGTGTATTTTTGGAGTGCTGCCTCGCCACTCATCCTAAGTAACATATGAAACAAATGATAACATAGTTATTTTACTAACAATAATAATATCACAGATAAGTGAGGTGTGCATAATTGTGTGCTGCATGTTTGTTAAAAGGATGCGACTAATAATATGTATAGTTGAATCTGTCATATTAATACATTATTATAATACTTAACCTATGCTGGCTGCGTGACTCTTATAAGTTACCTGAGAATCTTCTATTAGGCGGTTTTTATCAGAAGTTTGAATTCGAATTCTCTTGCTGCGATAATTATTTGATGTATTTATACTCTGTTTTTGATCCACGGACAGAGCATGTAAAAAGAGAAGATAATTGTTGAGTTGAATTTATAAATAATCTCTGTCTATTAAATATTAAAATTATAGCGTTAGGTAACATACCTTTGTCAGGATATTATATTGTATGTTGTATTAAATCTGAAAGAATATTATGTGTATTTGGACATTTGAGGTTATCCTTGTATGTGTCACCGTATTAAAAGGTTATTTTAATATTGAAAGCACTGTCTAAGAACAGCTCAAAATCTTTGCAGTATTGTATGGCTATAATGTTATACATACACAATTTACCGTGATACATACATACATGACAACATTGAAAGGTATGAGCGTTGTAATATTTACATATTAGGTTATAAACTCTCAGGAGGAAACTCTCTCTCTTGAAACACCTTCCGTTCGATGCAAAAGGACATCGACGCGCCATCTATTGGTGAACAGTAATACCTCTTAGCGAAACATAGTTCTGTCATAGATTATAAGTATAGTTGGGAAACTCGGTACATTGGGGTAATACTTAAGGCGAACTAGAAGTTACTAGATCTAGGGGAAAACTGCGAAATCATATTATAAGGCTTTATAAGGTTTTCTCATTATATTTCTTTCCTTTTAATTGATAAACAAGAATTATGCGTTAATTATTACTATTATTATTGTTAATTTTGCTATTGTTAACTTAACTGATTTCTAATATTTATTATAAGTCTGTAGGATGTAGACTTAGCTTCTAATCAATAATTTCGGTTTTACATATATACATTTGCATAATTTTGTTAGGCTGTGTATGGGCATTTATATAATTTATGAAACTGATAAATCTAATGGAATTAATAGGTGGATAAGTTATTTAATATTAATTGATGAAAATCAATTATTGCAATCGTAACAACTACAATATGTTACTTAATTATTCTATAGATGTCAGTATTAATATCTTTATGCTTGTTACACATGCTTTATTTAGATTGTACTGCGATATTAACGTTATTCTCATGTAGATAATAAATTACATGAGTTATTGATGTTGGATCCTACTTTATTTAGGAAGTGTTATTTATAGCACAATTGTGTCTGATAATAGATTATTTTTTGCTTTCATAATTATTATACTATAAGTACTATAAAAAAAAGCCATTCTCCTTGGAGATAGTTATTATATACACAATGATATAGTTTTGTATTATTTGCACCCTTTAACAAATCCTAAATGGGGTGGATGCAAACATTAGTCATTACATTGGCGTGAATTAGTTAAATACTGCAACAGCCCCTCCTCAAGTTTTTGAGGTATTGGAAGCTTGTTGCATGTGCGACACGCTGCTTGCTATTTGATTGTATAATTATTAACGTTTTGATCTATTGGTTAATTATAATTTTTGTCGGTCCTCTATGTTGCGTATGCAACATTGTTAGGAACTCGCATAAATTAACCAAAATATTACTTTTGTTCTGTATTTGATATGTTGATTGAATACTGGGGAACAAACTAACAATAAGTAATCGAATAGTAAACAGCTTATATAATCATTATTAGAATTAAGGAAATTTTCTCAAACTTTCTATTTTAATGTAATACATATTATGTATAATTATGTATAACTACTAGGCTAATTGTGTTACTTAACTGTTAATAGCATCACAAAGATGCTCTAGGATAATTTTATACTTACTTATAATTAATAGCATATTCATTCACTGTTGTTAACAGTATTATATAATACTGATTTGTCCACCTTATTAAATTATAAAATAAGGTAAGTCACATACACACATACATACATATATATGGGAATCATTAATTGTAACTGTGCGGCATGATCTTCTCGATTTAATTTGAGTATGGGTACACTGCAATGCCTGTATAGTTGTCTTATTACTTATTATATATTATATATTTGTGTTATTTTGCGCTTAGCGCGTGAGTCTGTCATGCTGTATAGTGCAATATTGATTGGATCTCTTTCAGCTGGACATAATTAATTATATTATCATTTCATCTTACTTTATCTTCACATGTAATCTAATTCAGTAACGAATTTAGTAAAAATCTAGTAGTAATCTAGTAAAAATCTGATATCGATCAAGCGATCTAGGATTTATCTAGTTCTTTAGTTCTTAGTTTGTCAGGTCGAGATATATAAAATGGCATCTGTTGAAGACATTATGTCTTACTGCGATGGGCTTGCTCCTTCTATATTGCTGAGTAGAGCGATTGAAGCTATTTATCAGTTGCAATCCCTGATACCTCATAAGTTAGAAATTAGCTTTAGATTGAGGTTAATTGAAGCTTGTTTACGTTTGATCTACTATCAGGGATATAAAATGTTTCGTGCCAAATCGTATCTGTTAGGACAACTAAAGAGACAGGAAGATCTTGTTAGGGAAAATATAGAACTCAGCATCGTTAGAGGCAATCCCTCTCTGAACACGTTTCCTACAGACATTAGCTCGTATATACAGGCTGAGAGTGATATAAACAACATCTTGGAGAATACCTCAACAAATGTCTTAGGATTGCAATTGACCATTGATAGCACCCTAAAAGAACAAGCTTTAAACATTGATACAGCAAAAGATCTTAATCGAACGCAGGAAACCATATACAACTGTGGACGCCTGATCGAGGAAAAAAGGATACACTTGAATAATTTGAATGATGAATTCAGCAGTATAATTGGTTCGCTAGTTGTGCCTACAATTATTATAGATAAGCCGGACGGATTGACTGTTGAAGACAAAGGCATTCTTATGGATTATGAGCACAGGGGAAGGTCACCTCTTAACAAACCGACATTATACAACTCAATGGCAGACAAAATGGAATTTGATATGGACTTATCGTCGCAGGGGGAATTCGGAGCCCCCAGCGATCGGCCTGGCGGTGTTGTCGTCCCCGGCACCGCCTTGTCGTCATCTGACGAGGGGCTAACTCGGATGTCTCCGGTGGGCATCCGAGTGGAAATGGCTACCACCGAAGATATTGAAGGGACGTGTAATCCGTCAATTGATGAGGATCCTTTAGGTGGATTGGTTCCTGAGACTGTCCGGGAAACGATTTTTATCCAGGAAACTGTGGAGGCTGAGGATCGGACTGTGGAAGTTTCACGAATTGCTGCTACTCCGGTTTCAAAAAGGAAGGCGGTTAGATCACCGGAAGGAAAAGATGCCTTTCCTGCCAAGAGTAGATTTGCTGGTGGTAGGGTTCGTTCGGAAATAGAACATATTCGAACAGAGGCGAATAAAGAAGACCCAGTACCTGATCCGGCTAAGGCAAGAAGTAGTGCCTCTCCCGAAGAGGATGACATGTGTATACGAAGAACCAGTGATAGACTTAAGCTAGCTAAGGTTACTCCTGGTAAATTCGAAAAATTGAAAAAGATCCGCGAAGCAAAGGTTAAAAAGGATCGTGCAGCGGAGGATGAGACTGGCTTCGTACAATCGTTGGACGAAACCTCCCCCGTTAATAGCAACGATGACAGTATTGCTAGTCGAGTGTCTACTAGGTCAGCTGGTAGGATCGTTGATTTGCTGGCTAGTGGAAAATATAGCGCTGACGAAACATTGGAAGACGAACCTATCAAAATCAAATCAAAGAAAAGGCTTTCAGCTAAGGCAATAAAAAGGAACATAATAACAGTCACGGAGGTACAGCTAGAAAACGAGCTTAAATACGATAAAGAAGATTGGCTTGAATATTCTGGCAACGAATTGGGTGCTCGTAGTCTAGATTATTTACACGAATTGGACAAACAATGGCAGGTTTCGTCAAACATAGCTGGATTTGTTAAAGCCAGAATGAAAAATTACAATAAGGTGGTTTCTGGTATTGTAAGAGCTATGATGGAGAAAATAGATGCGACTGGTGATCCGATCAAATTAAAAAAGGAGAATATAGACCTAAACGATCGCCTTAGAGAAATGGAGCGTAGGGAAAATAGGAATAAAAAAGAAATCGAGGATCTCTACAGGAAGGTAAACGATCTTAAAAGGGAAGTAAAGGGTTTGAAAGATACCCAAAAAAATTCTTCCAAGAAGGAGAGGAATTCTCCTGATCTTTCTGAAGAGAGGAACAAAAATAAAATTTATGGATCCAAACATGGCTCTCCTGAAAAAAGGCTTAAATATGATACTTACCCGTCCTTACCGGGTCCCTCGAAGGATACACATGATGATGACAGCTGGCTCGGAAGAAGAGAACCAACATCTTGGAAGATACCTGGTAACGAAGCGCCTGGATTGATGGAAAGGGATTCTGAAAAAGAAAAAAGAATTATTAATAAACAATTCACAAACTACATGCCTAAATTGGATAATAAAAAAAGCATCAAGGTCATTAGTGACATTCAATTAGTTCCTCCTCTTTCTCGTGAGTCGCCTAGAGAACATTCATTTAGAAACGAGTATTCTGATAATCTGAATGAAAAATGGCAGACAATAGGTAAAAATGGTAGGCCTGTGAGATCTTATAAAGATTATAATATTCAGCGTAGGAAAATTATACAGCAATCGCGGGTAACTTCCGAGTCTGATGTAGGTGCATCGATTAAAACTACTAAATCGAATAATAAAAATAGCAGATATAAGAAAAAGAGATTGATGAGACCTGCGGTTGTCACTATTAAGAGTAATAATGAAGAAATTTCTAATGGACAATTGTTACGCAGGGCCAGACAGGCTCTATTGCTAGACCAACTCGGTATTAAGAGTACTAAAATTCGTACAGCGGTTAATGGTAGCGTTGTTATTGAGGTTCCGGGCCCTCGTGGTAATGAGCTGGCTGGTTTGCTCCGTACCAAAATTGAAGATGTTCTGAAGGACGATGCAAAAGTTTCCAATCCGATTGAGATGGGAGAGCTGCGTCTTCGCGGAATAGATCATGCAACCACACGCGAGGAAGTACAAGAAGAATTGGCTAAGTTCTCTGATTGCCATAAGGATTACTTCAAGATCAGTGCTATTAATTGGATGCGAGATGGTCTTGGCTCGGTATGGGTTAACTGTCCGATAAACGCGGCGATTAGAATAGCTGAGGAGGGTTATCTGACTCTTGGATGGACAAGAGTCAAGGTGGATCTCCTTCACAAGAGACCCGTACAGTGCTTCCGCTGCTGGAAATTTGGGCATGTCAGAACTGCATGCACCTCCAAGGTTGACAGGGCAGGCTCTTGTTTTAAGTGTGGAACCTCCGGTCATCTTGCCAGTAAGTGTTCAAAGCCGTTTCACTGTGTTGTATGTGAGGTGTTGGGCAAGGATCCCAAACACAGACTTGGTTCCCAGATTTGCATTGACAATCAGGGTTTCAGGTCTGGTGTTCAATCTACCAGAAGGTTCGGAGATTTGAATAGGAAATCTGCCTTGGGAATAGAGCCGTCTACCTCGGATAACTATGGTTAAGATCATCCA